ATCAGCTCAGATAAGGCAAAAAAGGCACTGTAGAAGAGGGCACCATGATGCTTATAGTGGAAGGCACTGAATGGTTAATGCCTGTCCCATGCGTCTGATCTCATCTATTTTAATTATGCAGGTTTTTACTACTGCTTCTGATTAGCTTCACTCTCAGGTACCCAGACACAAAAAGCCAACTTCTGGGCTACAACCACCTTATGGGAAATTGTTTCCTACCAGAAGAAAGTTGAATGAGACCAGCTTTGCACAAATACGTGTTTAACAAAACATGAATTTGTGACCACTTTTGATTTGACAGAGACCCTTCTTCTCCTAGCATGGAAATGGATGGCTTTTCTTTAAAAGAAAAGTTTTGATTGGGAAATCCTATAACTGCAGTACTTGCAGAACAGTGTAACAATTTAGGTAGGCTTAGAAAGGATAACTCAAGCGCTCCAGATCTCTTCTGTGCAGTTTTCTTCTACAGTTTATGTAGGGGACAGTGGTGAGAAAACAATTCATTCACAAATACACTTTCCCTAAGAGGAATATTATAAATACCTTTTTCTCGTATACATCTTGCCAAACAATGCCAGCAAAAAATTTGTGTTGCATAATCTCCTTAGCATCATCAGGACCACCACCTAACCTGTTTTGGGACAAAAAAAAATAAAATAAAAAGAGAACATGTATTTTTCCAATAAAAGTATCTGAGAGACAGGACCTGATGGGTTATAGGGTTTGTCCTGGCTGCATAAATACAGCAAAACCAATAAGCACCATTTAAAGTACATTAGACATTCTGAAATCATAGTTTAGAAATCATTATTGATATAAAAAAGACACCCCCCCCCCCAAAAAAAAAAAAAAAACAAACCACTCTTTAGAAGATCTGGGCTAGCATGGTTATGGGAAACAAAATGTCTTCTAGACATCATCCACAGAATTTGACTATGTTTCAATTAAAGAGCCAGTTACTACTGGTACCTAGGACTGATGCCAGTGAGGTTTGCACAGGAATCATCACAACCAGAATTGGAAGATAATAAAATAAAACTGGCTTAACTACGGACTGAATTAAACCAACAGAACTCCAAGAACTTGCAACATGAGAGATGCTATTAGAAAACCAACAACGCACAACCTTGTTATAGAGAGATTTGATATAAAATGTGAGGCACAAACACAGAAACCCACACTGCATTTTATTCACTTTTCAAAGAAGAAAAGAAGCTTAAAAATACACGCTGCAGTAAGAGTGCCAACAGGCACTGGCTTAGGGTCTACACTCACAAGATGCCAACACTGGTGCAATCTGCATTGGTTTTGCACGCCAGGATAACTTACACTGGATCCAATTCAGACAGATGACCAGTTATCCCTAGACAGCTGCTATTACAGAGCCTTGCCACATGGTGGGAGAAGGCAGAGAACAGTTGTTTCCACTGAGCAATGGGATAAGTTTTGCATTTACTAGTCACGGGATAAAAATGAGAAAACAGCATTTGGATCAGAAGGCAGAACCCAGGATCCTCTCCCCTCCAGGAGAAAGCCACCTCCATTGGTTAGGTTCCTTTTGTCTTATTCTCATTCTGGCCCTCCAAATTCTGCATGCCTTTCTACCTAGTGGCCCAGTACAACAGGAAAGATGAAGAATGCCCTCAACCCTGCCTAGAGCTTGGTGGAATGTTCCTCAAAGTGGAATATGTAGGTTTAAGCTCGGCCAGAATGGGTCTAGAACCTGGATTGCCCATTTTTTGGGCTAGCAACCTAAACACTAGGGTAACTAGGCAAAAAGTGGGCAGGTTCTCCTCTTCCACATCCTGTTCCCTCTGCCCCCTTTTCTGTGACTCTGAAGTCTTAATGTTGTGATGAATGTGTGCTACAAAAGCAGATACATAATAGTCTTCCAGAACACAAACAACATGGAGTAAGACTGCACTTAGCCACTCAGGTATCTAAAAGTAACCTAAATACCATTTCAATGTCACAGGCCCAGGACACACACTGCATTTATGGCACGATTGTTAATTTCACCATAAATTATAACATGGTACATGTTCAGCCAATTTATGGCACTGTAAAATGGCAAACCAGCCACAAAGATGTTCCACATATAACGCAAAACATCTTTGTGGCTGGTTTGCATGGCGCCTTAAATCAAATGGGACATATGTTGTATTCAAGATCAGAGTTGCCCCAACCCATATGAATAATCAGCTGATTGTTGGCATCAGCTGGGGATAGCTCCAGGTCTGGAACTGAATCCAGAGCTGCCTGGGGCCAGTGCTAACAATCACCTAATTGTCAACAGTTTCAGACAGTCCCATTATTTCCAACTGGACATGGGGCTGTTGGGGGCTGGTGCTGACAAACAGGTGATTTCATGGGCAAGCACATCAACCACCAAGGTACTAAGCAAAAGTGGGCAGGTGATTGTCAGTGCTAGCCCTGGACAGACTTGGGTCTCAAACCAGACCCAGGGCTGGCTGAGGCTAGTTCCAACAATTAGCTGATTGATAACACTGGCTCAAGTATAATCCCAGACCCAGTCTGATCCCTGAGATTGGACTGGGAGCAGCTCTGAGTCCTGAACTGGGTCCCAAAGCTATCTATGCCCAATCCCCATCTGGGGACAGCCCCACAGCTAGGGACAGAGTTGTCCCCTGCCTGATCCACAGAATCAGGCTGGGGACAGCCCCACAGTGGCATGACTGGCATCTGCGGCATATTACGTCGCATCCCAAACATGATGTGTCCTTGCATGCACTTCTGGCATGGCAGGACATGCCATATTTGGGATCCAACATAACATTTGTCAGATCTGAACGGTGCCACTATTTTAATGTCTGCCAGGAGCTACTGTCACAGAACAGAATCTGGGCCTAATGACTTGCCTTGGTCACACAGGTCCTTTGTAATGGAGCTGGAAACTGACCCCAGCACTCCCATATCCCCAGCTGGAACCTTTAGCACAGGGCCATAATTGCTCTCACTATGTAACCATGCTGCAAGCTTCTAAATTTCACTTACAGTATAAATCACAGGCTTGATTGTGACAATGATTTGCATAAAGTAAGCAGCAGTGTGTTATTATTAGGGCCTGGTTTAAATCGTGGGCCCAACTCGCAGCACAGCAGCTCCTTTAATCTTGGAGTTCTCCACACATGCTCCCCGACACCGATTGGTGGAGGGGCCTGTTGACCCTGCTGACTGCTACTGATGGCCGGAAGGCAAAAACTGCGGTTTTAAATATGGTTGTTGTGTCCCACCCAGTCAGCAGCAAAGGGCAGGATGTGAAAAACATTGCACATTTAAATCTGTGATTTAAATCAGGCCCTCATTATTATACTGTCCCCGTCCCAGAAACAGATTGCAGAAGGAGACTGGATCATTATCTGCACCACAGGTGCAGGAAGGTACTATGCTCTGCCAGTTCTCCACCAGGCTCATTTCACATTCTCCAGTGCGTCAATGCATCTATGCTGGCCAGTACAATGAGAGGCGAGCATCCCATTCCACCCACTCTACACAGGCTACTTCTCTTCCTAGACTAGTGTCTAGCACAGGGCCATGAAGTACCTTTCCAATACCCCACCCACAATCTGACTACTAACAATGTTGCTTCACTGTATTTTCTCTCCATTTGATATAGAAAATCCAAAGCAAATACAAGCTAAGAATGACATGAACACTACTTTTCACCAGCATGCAAAAAGGCTAGTGAGCTGCAGACATGTACAAGTACTTTGGAGACAGCACGGTTATAGCAGCTTTTGTTCTGCAAAAAATAAATACACACATTTGGTGAAGTGGCAGCAGGGCTGGGGGGTGTTATACTTTTTTAAAATTGATAAGGCAGTAAAATAAAAAGTAAAACTCAGTGAAACAGAACAGGAAAGCTGCATGCAACAGAAAACCTCACGTTTTGGGTACAAAGGTATTTTCAATGCAGTTTTTATTTTTGCCAGGATTAGAATAAAAGGGCCTTCTGGGAGTGAACAAAACTCAAGTCAGTAACTAATGCAAGAGCACGACCATTTTTAATAAGTATTTACAATTAAAAACTTGGCATCTTGTGAAGAAATGCAACATTATCTGGCGAAAAAAAGCCTGAAAGAAAAAAAGTCTGCAGCGTAAAATTAACGTCACAGCATGGAAATCGGCAGACAGAATCCAGAGTGGTATAACCAGACTGGAAAAGCAAACCACTACTAAAAAGTTTACAGTACACAGGGAAATATGAAATGAATAGAGAGGGCCAGAAGCAACAAGAAAGACTAGAGCTTAAATGGGTCTCATTAACTGAGCACAGGACATTTCTATTTATTCATGGCTGCTTCCTTCTTAGGTCAAGAACCTTTATTCTATGCTTCAGCTTAGTTCCAAAGAAAGAAACTTTATTAAAATGGAGCTGAAGGAAAAAAAAGAAAAAAATTAAACATGGAACTAGTCGGAGCTTGGAATTTATATGGCTTGGAAGTTATTTTAATGATTTGGCTGCTAATATCTGTGCTCCAGAAGTGAATGGCAGTCAGCTCTTTCCACAGAAAAAGCACATGTAAATACCAAAATTGTTCAGCATGCTTAGATCACTCAAAGGCTTATGAGCAATGGTCTTTATACAAAAATGAGCAGGTTTCTAAATCACAGACAGACCCTGCCATTTCAGCTAACTCCTCAAAGTGAAGATTAAAATGACCCCTGGCCATTCCCACATTCACAAAAAATTAAATTCCAGTTCAACTGAAAAATGTCACCTTTGCTGCAGCTTAGTTCCAATCTAGCAAAGCACTCGAGCACGTGCTTAACTTTAGGCACACAAACCATCTCAACAGCCCAGAATTTGCTTTGCTGGACCAGGACCTAGTAGAGAGATTCTGATTTTGGGGCCATCCTCATCTGGAAGATTCTGATGCCACTCACCTCCAGGTTCTTGACTGTTCATGGTTCATTGCTCATTCTGCACTTCCCTCCGTTACACTTGAATCTGAAGCCTCAAACCATTTCATTGTTACCTTAACCATCTCCTCAGAACAAGGGAAGGGTCACCTGCAAGGATGGGACCAGCTGGGCATCTCTCACCTAGTCATTTACATGCTATCACAGGGGCCTCAGTTACTGGTGGCACCTTGATCTCTTGTGTCTCTCTGTGGCACACTGAGGACTTTGCTTCACTCAGTGGCTGAACAAAAGCACTGTACAGGGGAAATATGGCTGGTAATATACAGGTGATCAGACTAGCCTACCTAAGCTGGCCTTTCTGGCCTCAAATTCTATGGAACTATTAACCGTTGTTCCTTACAAACGTGCTCTGCTTTACAAGAATGACACGGAGAATATTCTGACGCTGGCAGCAGCCCCATATTTTCCAAAAACGGGGCAACCCGAGAAATAGGACTTTTTCCTCTTCCACTTTGTCCTGTGGCTACATTCACTGCTTTGCAACCAGCTTCCATTCACATGTAGTCTAAAACCAACTGTTGCATAAGCCACTTAGTACAAGGTGGCCCGTCTGATTTAAGAATGAAAGCTACATTCTTGGCCTACCTAAGATTACAGTAACTGCTTCCTCCAATTCAGTTTCTACCACTCTAACCACTGAAAGCAGTCTACTTGACCTTCTAAGTCTAAGTCTACAGTGGATTC